AAAATCGGGGAAAAATTATACCTATGCGACCGCATAGGCATAAGAAAAATGGCGTTTTTAATCCCTGGAGGTTCACTCGCGACCGCATAGGTTTTATACTATGCGACCGCATAGTAGAGCTAACTTCTAGTTTGAGTCATTTTGGTCCTCAAGTTTTATTCCTTCACTCCTTGACCTCCTCTCTTGTTCCTAGTTGCTCCAATGTTCCCTTATAACTTCCAATTGGTGCTTGGCTTGATCAATTTCTTGATGTGTTCATCGGGTCAACTTTCAAATAATTGCAATTTGGTCCCTGAATTTTCAGTTTGCTCCAATTTGGTCCTTTTTCGGCTCTTTTCTCCTGAATTCCACTATTTCCATAGAATTACCTTCATTGCATGAATTTGACAAAGTTAAGTAACAATTCAATCATTTTACTTGTATTTAAGTCATGTTTGTGATGTAAATAAGTGTGCAAAAACACACTTATCAAACCCCCCAAACTTGAACTATTGTTTGTCCTCAAACAAGATAGTGATATAATTCTGAACAAACATGGCTTAACACCTTGCCTTGGCTCAGGATTGGACTAAATAATTGATTTTATGAAAATTTATCAGTGCAAGATGACATCAACCCTTACCTGTTAAGTGCGTACTTGACGTGTGTGTGTGTGTGGATTCATGCTAACATATCAAGTTCATGATGAGTTTGAATCCCGACCCCAAGTGGTCAAATGTCTCCTTACTCGCTCGAGAGATATACAACCCCCCAAACTTATTCTTTTCACTCAATTATCCCGAGGTTGTGTTTAAAAATTATGAGTTTACCTAGCTTTAGTTCTCACCCTCTCGTAGTTTGGATTAATTTCACTATCACAGGTTCACACGTCAACAAGTGAAGGCTCTCCTAGTTTTGATTGCTTCGACACTCAAGACTAAACTAGGTTACTTGCCTCGCCTCAAAGGTATAGTTTCTTCCACCAATTGTCCAAGGGCTTTTCTTCTTGTTATTGTCTCTTTTTGTTTTTCTCAATTTTCTCTGGTTTTTTTTATATCATCTTCTCATTTGCTTTCTATATAACCCATGTAACGAGCTTCAGACTGGTGACTCCCAAACCAGTTGATTTTAGGGCACCAGATTTTAAACCCTTGCAGGCTTATTCACCCGAGTTATAAAGGCTCGATCAGATGACTTTTTATTAACTTCTTTACTTCTTACTTTCTATATGACCCATGTATCAAGCTTTAGGCCGGTGACTCCTAGATCAGTTGACCTTAGGGCACTAGATTTTGAAATATCCTTACAGGCTTACTTGCTCGAGTCATAAAGGCTCGAAAGAGAAGTGTCTTATTCTCACAAATCCAGTTTATGCCCTTATTTTTCTAGACATCTGGTATCCAAAACCAACCCTCAATTTAAGATTTTCACCTACTCTTCATCCCACTGGTTTAGGCAATCCACACAATAATTCATGCACGGAGCCTCACTCATTTCAATGTTCTCCTATAATAGCTCAACTATCACCAAACCGTCTTAAGGTAGTTTACGGGTTAATTCAATAGAGGGTTATAATTATCTCTCTACTTTATGTTCAAAACCCCAATCACTTACCTAACATGTTAAGCATGAATGACGTGCATAAAGAATGTCAAGTATTGCATCAACAAGTATTAGTTAGCCTAATTAACACCGACTCCAAAGTTCTGAAATGTACCAATCCAATAGTAATATCATAGCCGACAAGGCGATTAAGCTCACACAAGTATACATAAGCATAATCAATATTCACTCACAAGCATGTCTCATGCAGCAATTAGTCAAAATAAATCTGGATTGTGGAAATGCAATTAGTTACATGCCGAATGTCTTTATAAAATAATGCCACCATCCCCCAAACTTATACAAGACATTGTCTACAATGCGAAAATTAAGTTTAGAAGGCAGAATTTAAGGAAAATGAATACAAATAAGGCAAACGATACTCCCCTGATCAATACGGGGACTGCGATGGGAAGCTAGATCTTGCAGTATCATCAGTTGGAGGTGGAGGTAGGTGCGCCAAGATCTCTCTCATCAGTGCTGACTGCTGTGTCATTTCATCATGGATTCCTTCAACACGTGTCTCCAAACGGTCCAAACGCTCCCAAGTTTCATTTACCCTCATCTGAATGCCATCCACCCTGCCCACATACACACTGAGTCGGCCGTTCATAGTGTCCATCTCCCTCCTAGCTGCCTGGGCATCCTGGCGAGCAGCACATGACATATCAGTGGAAATGCGGATGTCACAGTGGACTGTATGCATCTCAGTCGTCAAAGTCCCCATAGCCTGTTGGAGACTCTGTACGTCTCGGCTGGTCCCCGTGGTGGTGGTGAAAATCTGGCGCCACAGCTGTGCATTTAACTTAGCCTGTGATGGAAGAGCTTGAGGCATCTCTTGCTCTGCTTGCTCGTGACCTTGCTCTTCCTGCTGTCTGCGCCTTTCAATTTCTTGCTTTTCCCAGTGCTTTAACCTGGCCCTGTCTTGGGCCTCCAAGGTACTGCACTTTATGGTGGGGCTGGGTTTGGCAGCCACTTCCTCGGATACAATGTTTATACCAGCAGCTATGCAAATTCCGGAGATGAGGCTTGGAAAGATCATTGAGCTGTGTCTATCTCCCAAAGTACCCACATGATGTATCTGATCATAGCAAAGAGTGGCAAGATCAATCTTATTACCTCGCAACAAGTGATAAAGGAATCCAGCTGTGGGATCTGTGAATGTGGTCCTGTGAGAGGTCGGCTCAATGTTGTGGCACATAAACAGCCACAGGATGGCTATAGATGGTGTCAGCTCAATCTGATGCCACTCGGTGGTGGGGAGTGGCCATGCATTTTGTCGCCCCAAGAAGATCTCCGCCACTTCAGGCCAATTGAAGTCACCTGGTATAGGCGTTATGTTTTCCCACGTGAGCTGGTAGTAGTCTTGAATAACCTCGGGTGAGAATGTGATCCATTTTTCCCTGACCCAAGTCTGATGTAGGTGGTCGGACCCTGGGGTGTCAATTTCTGTATTGAAGTTGGCGTAAAATTCCCCCACCAACAATTCATAACTCTGATGTGGCTGCTCCACTATTTTATCCCATTCACAGTTATGCACCAAAGTAGTCAGCTCGAAACCAAGAAAGTCTTCCAATTTAACAGCCCGTTCTGGTGTCACCGTCCATCGACTCACTATGTTTTCATAACAGGCTGCAACCTCGAAAGTCAAGAATCTTTGTATACCTCCTTCAAGCACTCAAGTGCATGCTGTGCCGGATGATGAGCCAACTTTCTCCTTTCCTTTTGAAGTTCATTTTGGTGGCATCCTGCAAAGTTGGAAAATAGCTAGCATTAGACATCTTGTTATACAGCGAGAAATCGTATGAAATGAAAAGCACGTAATTTACGAATCCCCCAAACTTGTTTCAATAAGCATGTATACTACCACGGTGTAATGAACAATGTATGATGATTAGAGTAGTATAAACGTATAGTCCATATGAAAATATAAGAAAATTTGGGAGAATATGCTCATAGTTAAAGGGTTGGAGTCATGATTGAGTGTACACCTTCGGCCCCGGGCACCATCGAGAATTATCAAGATTGTCCCGGGCAACCTCCAGGCATATGGAAGTATGAAATGAGTTCTAGCACATACCCAAATTTCAGCTCAATCGGAGGTCGTTTGATGTGTCAAACAGTAGTGTAAAATAAGGGACGGAGGGTGTTGTGGGCACATTATCACTTAGCTATTTTTGTGCATGTGTGTGTTGATGTCGTCTAAGTCACATTGGTTGGTAATATGTCACAACGAGTTATTCCATTCATCAAATAGTCAAATGTCATGCTAGATGTTCATAAATGTATTAGATTACCAAGATGGGCATTTTATCGAACATGTTATATGCGTTGTGAGACCTTCATATACTAGCCAAAAATTTACTATTTCACATGGTTCCCCATTCAAAAATCAATCACCAAGCGCATACACATCCATCAATCAAATGAATTTAAGGCAAAATATACCAAAATACCCAAAAATTATCAATGTGGCAATTTATCAAACACATTACAAGCATAGAGTGGAAATGGTGGAAATGGAAAGAATTTTGGTTTAGAATCATTCCAAATTTTCGCACAACACAAGCACAATCAATCCATATGCACAAGAACTATTCTAATCTCCCTCAAATCACCAAAATTACATTTATAATGAATAGAACCGAAAACGGAATTGAGGGAGGGGTGAAAGAACACATACCTTGCCTTGTAGGGTGTAATCAATGGATAGAATGGATTTCCTACCAATTATATCACAATGCAATGAATGAATTGGTGTGTGATGTTAGCCTAAAATTGATTTGGGAAGAGAGTGAGAGGTCGAAAACGATATTGAAGCCCTTAGCAAATGATTCGGGCGTGGGTTAAAAACCCATGCCTTTTTTTGTCTATGCGGCCTCATAGTTAAATCCTATGCGGTCGCATATGTATATTTATTTTTTTGCTTTTAACTTTGGCAGGTGTCTATGCGACCGCATAGACACCATGTCTATGCGATCGCATAAAACAAAAAAATTTTTTTTATTAAAGAAATAAAAAAGAGTGCCATTTTTGTCCAAATTTTTTTTTTTAATTGACCCGACTCTCAACGTCCCCAATTTTTCAGAAATATATTTTTAAAATATTGACATGTGAAATTTAGAAAACATAATATTCCTCGAAATACGTGAATTCCACACTCAACTACCCAAAACAATGTAAATCAACCCGAACTTGTGTGTGATACTTAAGGACTCGTGTGCACAGTGCTTGGACTCTTTTAACATGCCTAGATGATCGATGACCATATAACGGAATACTAAATGAATTTGAAAATAAACTTTCTAATTTAATGCAGAAAACATAATAAAGTAAATAAACAGATAAAAAGGATACAGTGGGTTGCCTCCTACCCAGCGCTAAGTTATAGTCGATAGCTCGACTTTTCTGCGGCTACTTCATTCTGGCGTCTCGAGTTGAACGGTTGACTTTTGTTTAGAGAAGTCACCGCCCCAATAGTGTTTCAACCTTTGCCCATTGACAGTGAAGGTACCCTTATTCTCATTGCTCACTTGTATAGCCCCATATGGTAAAACTTTTGTAACTGTGTAGGGACCCGACCACCGTGATCGTAGTTTTCCTGGGAATAACTTGAGTCTCGAATTATACAGTAGTACTTGCTGCCCCACTTCGAATACTCGCCTCTGAATATGCATATCATGCCACTTCTTGGTTCGCTCCTTGTAAAGTTTTGCATTTTCATAAGCCTCCATTCTAAATTCATCTAACTCATTCAGTTGCAGTACACGCTTTTCTCCGGCGGCATTCAAGTCCATATTTAACTGTTTCATAGCCCAGTATGCCCGATACTCCATTTCTAATGGCAGATGACATGCTTTCCCAAAGACTAGGCGGTATGGAGACATGCCGATCGGGGTCTTGAATGCTGTTCTGTAAGCCCATAATGCATCGTCCAGCTTTTTAGACCAATCCTTTCTAGATGAATTCACAGTGACTTCTACTATTCTCTTCAACTGCTGATTAGATGCCTCAACTTGCCCGCTAGTTTGTGGATGATATGGAGTAGCAATGCGGTGTTTAACGCCATATTTATTCAGTAGTTGCTCAAACTGGTGATTACAGAAATGCTTGCCCCCATCGCTGATTATAGCCCGCGGTGTACCATATCGGTGAAAGTGTATTTCTTCAAGAAACCAATTACAGTCTTTGAGTCATTTGTTGGCAATACAACTGCTTCCACCCATTTTGAGACGTAATCCACTGCCACCAAGATATACTGGTTTGAGAACGAAGGGGGAAAAGGTCTCATGAAGTCAATTCCCCAAACATCAAATATCTCTACTTCCAAAATATTGTTCAGTGGCATTTAATTTCTCCTCGAGATATTCCCAGTGCGTTGACATCTGTCATATCTCTTAACAAACTCAAATGTGTCTTTAAACAATGTAGGCCAGTAGAAACCTGATTGTAGAATCTTTGTAGCTGTTTTTGAAGCTCCAAAGTGTCCTGCATATGCGGATGAGTGATAGTGCTCGAGAATCTCATGTACTTCTTCTTCAGATACGCACCTCCTCACTATCTGATCAACTCCTCGTCTATATAGAATTGGATCCTCCCAGAAATAGTATTTTAACTCGGTGAAGAATTTTTTTCTTTTGTGACTGGAGCAGTCAGGCGGTGGAATGGAACTGGCCAAGTAATTGACAATATCTGCGTACCAAGGTGCTTCATCCACTCTCAACATCTGTTCATCCGGGAAGATCTCATTTATATCCATTAAATCTTTTGTCTTCCCAGATTCTAGTCTGGATAGGTGATCTGCTACTACGTTCTCGGTGCCCTTCTTATCGCGTATCTCAATGTCAAATTCTTGCAATAACAGCACCCAACGAATTAATCTCGACTTTGTATCCTTCTTTGTGAGCAAATACTTCAATGCAGCATGATCAGTATAGACGATGATTTTAGATCCGACGAGGTATGACCTGAATTTGTCAAATGCAAACACCACAGCCAACAGCTCCTTTTCAGTGGTTGCATAATTTAGTTGTGCATCATTTAGAGTTCTGCTTGCATAGTAGATCACATGAAAAATCTTGTTCCTCCGCTGTCCCAATACTGCACCTACAGCGTGATCACTTGCATCACACATCAATTCAAAAGGTAATTCCCAGTCTGGAGCTACAATCACTGGTGTTGTCGTAAGCTTTTCCTTTAAAGTGTTGAAGGCTGTGAGACAATCCTCATTGAACTCAAAAGTTGCATCTTTCATTAGTAAATTGCACAAAGGTTTAGTGATCTTCGAGAAATCTTTTATAAACCTCCGGTAGAACCCAGCGTGCCCCAAAAAACTGCGAACTCCTTTAACTGATGTAGGCGGTGGTAATTTCTCAATCACTTGAATTTTTGCCTTGTCTACCTCATTTCCTTTTGCCGATATCCTATGCCTAAGTACAATGTCTTTCTGCACCATAAAGTGGCATTTTTCCCAATTTAAAACCAGGTTAGTCTCCTTGCATCTCTGTAAGACTAAATTCAAGTGGTTTAGACATTCATCAAATGAAGATCCAAATACTGAGAAGTCGTCCATGAAAACCTCGATAAACCTTTCAATCATATCAGAGAATATTGCCATCATGCACCTCTGAAATGTGGCTGGAGCGTTGCAAAGACCAAAAGGCATCCTACGATAAGCAAAAGTACCGTAGGGACAAGTGAAAGTGGTCTTCTCCTGATCCTCTGGTGCGACAGGTATCTGGTTATAGCCCGAGTATCCATCAAGAAAGCAGTAGTGTGAATGTCCAGCTAACCTCTCCAACATCTGATCAATGAATGGGAGTGGAAAGTGATCATTTCGTGTAGCTGCATTGAGTTTGCGATAGTCAATGCAAACTCTCCAACCCGTAACTGTTCTGGTGGGAATTAGTTCATTCTTCTCATTTTTCACCACTGTGATTCCCCCTTTTTTCAGTACCACTTGAACAGGGCTGATCCATGCACTATCTGAAATTGGGTAGATAATTCCTGCATTCAATAACTTCAGTATCTCTGCCCTGACTACTTCTTTCATGTTTGGGTTCAGTCTTCTCTGACTTTCTAAGCTAGGCTTGCAATTTTTCTCCATTAAAATTTTATGCATGCACATGGAAGGACTGATTCCTTTAATGTCAGCTATTGTCCAACCAATCGCCGTCTTGTTCTCTCTAAGTACCCTGAGCAGTTTTTTCTCCTCCATCTCACTGACTGTGTTTGAAATGATTACTTGAAGTGTATCTGATTCTCCTAAATAAGCATATCTGAGATGTGATGATAGTTGTTTGAGTTCTAAAACTGGCGGTTGCTGAACTGAAGGTAGTGGCTTTGTGTTTCCCGTCCCCAGTTCCTCGAAGTGCCTCTTTCGTGTGTATGGCGGGTTGGTCTCCAAAAATCTTGCACATGTTTCAACTTCTACAGACTCTTACTGGATTGATGGGGATTGTGCAATAAATGCCTCATAGGCATCAGATGGACCGTGTAGTAAAAATGTTTCTTGTACTGCCTTGTCAATAATGTCAACTTGATAACAGCTGTCAGATTCTGCTGGTAACTTCATTGCCTTGAATACATTGAATGATATCTACTCTTCTCCCAATCTTAAAATCAACTAACCTCTTTGAACATCTATTAATGCTCTCCCTATTGCCAGAAATGGTCTGCCAAGTATCAATGGAACGTCCTTGTCCTCTTCCATGTCCAGGATAAGAAAGTCTGCTGGAAATATGAACTTCTCAACCTTGATAAATACATCTTCAATTATTCCTCTGGGATGTGTCAATGACCTGTCAACCAGCTAAAGTGTCATAGTGGTTGCTTTAGCTTTTCCCAATCCTAGTTTCCTAAAAATAGACAAAGGCATTAAATTAATACTTGTACCGAGGTCACATAATGCTTTATCAAAATATACTTCACCGATTGTGCAAGGAACAGTAAAACTCCCTGGATCTTTTAGTTTTAATGGAAGCTTATTCTGAATTCTGGCACTACATTCCTCAGTAAGCATGACTGTCTCATGATCTTCCAGCTTGCATTTATTTGATATGATATCCTTCAGAAACTTCGCGTAGCTAGGCATCTGGAATAGTGCATCTGCTAGTGGGATGTTGATATGGAGCTTTTTGAAGATTTCTAGAAATTTTTTGTATTGTTGCTCCACTTTTTGCTTCTTCAAGCGCCGTGGAAAGGGAATCGGAGGTTCGTAGGGGTTGACTGTGACTTTGGCCTTATCTTGTGATTCTTGTGAATTTTCCTTTGAACTTGATTCCTTTACAACTGTCTCCTCTTCAGCGGAGGAAGATGTTTCTCCAATCACCCCCGGTCTCTTGACATGGATTTCAGGTAATTGAACTCCACTTCGAGTTGTAATGGCCTTTGCTTGCTCTTTAGGATTGATTTCTGTATTACTTGGTAAGTTACCTGGTGTTCTGCCAGTCAATGAGATGGCTAGCTGCCCCATCTGAGTTTCCAAATTTTTGATGGCTGCATTTTGATTTTGAAGTGTAGATTCAGCCTTTTCCATGAACTTTCCTATCATATCTTCCAATTGAGGCCTCTTCTCCTGTTGTTGAAACTGCCCCTGTGGCTTATTCTGATTCTGGTTGCTTCACGAGAAGTTGGGATGTTTCTTCCAGCTGGGATTGAAAGTCTCACCATATTGATTATGCTGCTGGCGTTGTCCCCACTGTGCGTAGTCTGCTTGCTCAATTCCTTGCATGAGTATAGGGCAATCTGATGTTTTGTGTTCGGCTCCACATTCCTCACAATTGCTCTTCTTAGCTTGTGATGCTTGTGATATGCTCTCTACCTTGTGATACAGAGAATCAATTTTTGCAGAGATTGCTGAATAAGCGTCCACCTCGTAGACACCTGGAGTTTTCTTTGGAGTTGCCCTCTCAGAAGACCACATGGCTGATGTGGTAGCCATTCGCTCAAATAATTCCAATGCCCCATCAACTGTTCTTGTGGATATTGAGCCATCTGATGCTGAATCTACCATGCTCTTATGGTATGGAAGTAATCCTGTGTAGAAGAATCGAATTTAGGTCTTTTTATCGAACCCATGCTGAGGGCATTTCAGGAGCATGTTTTTAAATCTGTTCCAGGCTTCATCAAATGATTCAGTCTCCCATTGATTGAATACTGATATATCATGTCTCAACTTTGCTATCTTGGCTAGGGAGAAGAACTTTGTGCAGAACTTGTGTGCCAGCTCATTCCATGTAGTGATACTTGCAACCGGGAGTGAATCCAACCATTCAAGTGCTCTGTCTCGTAGCGTATGTGGAAAAAGCCTCAACCTAATGGCGTCATCCGAAATCCCTTGGTATCTGAAATGTTGACACATATCCAGAAATCGAGATACGTGTGTGTGTGGGTTCTCCTCAGCCTTGCCATAGAATTGGTGTCCATTTTGAAACAGCTGTATCACATTGGTCTTCAACTGAAAATTAGGTTCCCCAAACGGTGGATACAATATGCTGGACTGGCTTTGAATCACTTGAGGAGTCAAGAAATCCCCCAGAATCTCATTCCCTTCGTCCATTGCCTCTCCTTCGTTAGCATGAATTATGAGATTATTTAATTCGTTGGCCATTTGTACTTGTGCTTCGCGGTGATTTCTTTGTCGTCGGTGAAAGGTGCGCTCAATTTCAGGATCAGTGGGAATCAATTCTCCTCCAGGCAATCGTGACATGCAAATCTGAGAATTAAAACCAGTACGAGCACTTAGATTCAAACAATTTAATTAACTAGTCTAACACAAATAGAGGATGATAAACTAAAATAAAATAAAAATAAAAACAAAATTATGCTAATAAAT